GGTTGTTGTGTAATTGTTGTCCCAAGTCGTCTGTTGCACAGTGCTGGTAGTTGTAGACATCTTGTACAATGTACGTTTGAACGCTCCTCTTCGTCCTCTGAATTCCAACGAGACGATTTATCAAAGGAAACTTAGATAATTATGCCGAAAGAGAGTCTGAGCCCGACCTATCTTGTGGAGTATTCATTGATCTTAATAAAGCCTTCGACATCGTCGATCGCAACAGTTTGCTTGATGAGCTCAATCACTATGGCTTTTGTGGATTAATTAATGATTGGTTCTCCTCGCATCTCAAAAATTGCACGCAAACAACACAAGTAGGCCATCCTATATTAGATAAAGCTGTCGTTAGATATGGTGTTCCTCAAGGATCAATTCTTGGACCATCGCTTTGCTTGCTATATGTCAATGATATCCACAGATGCTCGAATAAATTTAGGTTTTTACCTCTTTGCAGACGACACTAACCTATTGTATGCGGACCAAAATCTGAAAGATCTGGAGACAATAGTCAACAATGAGCTACAAAACCTTTATATCTGGTCGGCAGCCAACAAACTAACTCTTAACATTAAAAAGTCCAAATTGTAATTTTTCATCCTTACCAAAAGCGACTCGCTTACCAACCAAAACTTTGCATGTTTGATAATGTAAAGAATAAATATGTTCCCCCTCAGTCTAAAGTTTATATAAAATACCTGGGCGTTCTTAATAATCAGAATCTCTCTTGGAAATACCACATTGATTCTATTGTTACAAAATTAGTAGAAATGTTGGGCTGCTTGCAAAGCTACGCCACTCTGTACCTCGACCATTACCACTAAATATCCATGTATAAGTCACTAATTCATCCTTATTTAACTTATGATCTTGCTGCCTGGGGTCAGGCATGCAAGACTTATCTTAACAAAATTCTAATTCTTCAGAAAAAAACCGTCTTCGTTTGCTGTACTTCGCAGACTGGCACGACCATGCAACTCCTTTATTTCTCGAAGCTAACGTGCTTCCAATAACTTTTCTAGTCCGTGTCAACCTTAATGCACGATATCAATAATGATAAAGCCCCAGCAAACATGTTAAATTTATTTCAGAAAACGTCTGGTATTCACTCATACAATACACGATCGTCTACGTTATCATTTAAGAGTCAGTGACTTCTTGTCTTTAATTTATGTTATTAATGTACTTATCTTACCCCGTCATGATTAGCTTTCCAGCCATTTGCTGGGCAAACTATCACTTCTTTTTTTGTACAAAGAACAAAGAATGAATTGAAAAAATTGAATAAATTAAATAAGACTGAAGTGGCTTGTTTACAGAACCTGATTCATGTTACGTTTGGACGTGACGAGGAAGTAACAAGTTGCAAATGAAATATCCGAAAAACTTATTTAACGCACTGACTTGTCACGGAGAATTTCGGGGAGTGCTTCTAAAACCACACCTCAAAGCACGCGACAGCTCACAGTTTGACGAAACTACCGTGAATGTTATCTGAACAAATTAGTATAAGAAGCAGCAGAAATGAAAATGGTGATCGAGCTATTTACACCCCTACATTCATCCTGGGTTTCCTGACATTTTGTCGTGCCCACTGAAAATGTCAACGTGCCCAAAGCTGTGGTTAAATGCAAATACTCTAGTTTTTAAATAATTTCCTATGCATGTAAAATTTGAGCTGAGATGACTAGATGGTAAGTGTAACTTTGATTAAGTGGGAAGCGCGTAAATCAGTTCGTTTTAACCGAAATAACTACAACTAATAGAATAACTTATATGGTATAAATTGTGGCTATAATTTCTGCCTGAGCGTCTTTGCTTCATGGAAAGTATTTAGTAAATGAACCTATTTTTTCTCAACGATCCAATAACTGATGGTGATCTTTCCTTTACAGCCGGCAACTCATCTGAAGTCAACCTAAATGGTTGGAGTGGATATTTTTGGAGCCCTAATTTTCCCAACAACTTCCCAACAAACAGAAAATCCACATGGAATATCACGGTACCCAGTGAGAAAATTATCAAACTGATCTTTTTGAAGTTCACCCTGGTAACAGGTGAAAGCGATGACTGCGCTGGAGCAGCACAAGATAGTGCCCGTGTTTTTATATCAAACGTTGCTTCACATGGTGGAAAGCCTGGTGACTTTGAGATTTGTGGTCAAAAGCTTCCTCCTCCTGTTTACTCAGATGGAAATTTCCTTCAAGTGACATTTGAATCCCGCGACACCGTAAACAAAGGATTCAATGCCTCTTTTGAGGCGATTGATAGAGACCCACGTAAGTGTTTTTGATCGTGTATATTGTGATATTTTTATAAAAAAATTAAAGGTATTCTCTCTGTCTCTCTCTCGAAGCTGGTTTAGTGATGTTCTATCTAAAAAGGCATCCAGTGTGATGCTGTCAATCTGACAGCCCCGATACTTAGTTCATAAGGAGCCTCATGACCAGTGAGTAAGAGAGACAGAGAGACAGACATAGGGGGAGACAGAC